CTCTCTCTCTCTCTCTCTCTCAAATAAATAATAAATAAAATAAATAAAATTTAAAAAAAAATAAAATATTCAAGCAGGTATATTTATAAAGCAAAACTTAAGGTATTTTGCAGTTTTCTGTACTAAGTCTTTGCACACTAGTCACATTTTAAGTGTTTAGTAGCTGCATATGGCTAGTGGTTGCTACAGTGAACAAGACTGGAAACTTTAACGCGAAGAGATCAAGACCTACACTTCCAGCACTATCATCCTGAAGTCAGTATACTAGGAATCACAGTCTTCCACTGAACTAAAAATCACAAGGAATTTTATTTAATGCTAAGGTATTTAAATGAATTGGTAAATATACCTAATCTCATACTTAGCAAAATCAAAATGTAAGGCACTACATAAAAATCATCAGTCCTACCTGTCAAATGCAGGTGCATTGGCTTCGAACCCCCTTGACATACGGACACGATGGGATCCAACCTTAGACAAGAAAAGCAGATTTTATCATACCAAAAAACAAACGTGCAAAGAAAGATATGCTTGATACATGTAACATCTTATTTGCTGAGCACATGTAAATAAATCAAGTAAGTGATTTTCCCTCATAATAATATTTTCTTAAAATGCTCTAAGGGTTTGGTGCACAGCTATAACCCCAGCACTCAAGAGGCTGAGGTAGGAGGATCAATGTGTGACGCCAGCCTGGGCTACATAGTAAGACGCTGTCATTAAAAAAAAAAAAGTTCAAGTTACACTATTATGAAATACTTGTAAAGGAATAGTAATTTCTTGATGAAAAGTATTTTGAATGCTTTCATATACATTACCTTGTTTTCAGTTCAAACTATATGACCTATGTAAATGAAGAGATATACCTTCTCTGTTAAATATGTGCAACTAATGCCAAAAGATTCAGATGAGTTTTTTTTTTTTTCTCTTAACCTAAATTTCTACTCTTCCAAGCAGTCTATTACTACAATATCTGTGAGTCTTCTTTTTCTGTGATGCTCAATACTCTAGGCCCCTCTCCATCACCAAAAGCTCCAAAGAATTAAAACCATCATTCCTTTCTGGAAAAACAGATTTTCCAAGTAAACTTCACTGTCATACAATTATATCATAGCACATTTTGCAAAGTTAGAAATTTTGGGTTAAGTGAAATAAACAAGATAGAAAATATCTACATATTACATATTGCTACCTTTTCTTTCCTTATACAGTAAAGTAGCAGAGAGATAAGGCAAGGTTGAGAAAGATCTAACAGACGTCAAAAAGAAAGACAAAGGTGAGACCACCTTTTTTTTTTTTTTTTTTGTGGAACTGAGGATTGAACTCAGGCCCTTGCACTTGCCAGGGAAGCGCTTATTCCACTGAGCCATCTCCCCGGCCCTATTTTTTTAGGATACTAGAGAAAATGTTTTGGCATAAGAGATATTCATAAAGAGTTCACTCCTTTTCAAAGAAAGGTTAACTAAAAACTATTAAGGTAAATAATTGTAAAGATCACTGACTCATCCTCAATCCAACCCAAGTCAACAACAGGCCAGGACAATTGGAATAAATTGTCCTGGTCTCAAAAATTGTCTCCAGGTCTTAAAAATTATGATTGTAAATAAATATATGTCTTAAAAATCCATAGTTTTCAATGCATATGCACATAACATTAGCCAGCTACATAGTGCAGACAGCCCAAAGAACAAGTAAGGAAGAAGAAATTCTCACCCACACAGGATCACTCAATGAAACTACTCACAAAACAACTTTACTGAATAATAATAATAAAAAAGTAACACAGAAAGCTGTGTAACAGAGGGCCCATAAATAGAATGACTTATATTAGTATGTCCCTAAAAGAAAATCATTCAGCTTGCATCAAACCAAGGCTTTAGGAATGTTCTTAAAGCAAATACGCCAAACATCACTGCTAATCCCCGAAACTTAGGAGTGTTGAGTTTGCAAGAGCTTTAGGGGAGAGGAAGATCTATTTCACCTATCTTTAAATACCAAAGATAAAGCCCACACTACTCAAACCAGTCCTGACAAGAACTAAAGAAATTCAACTAAGCAGAGCAAGTACTACTGCTATTTAATTCTTTACCTATCTTGAATAGATTGCATTACTGAAAAAATTGGAATGATCTGTTATTTTTCTTCACAATAGCCAATACAGAATCTAACAGAGACCCAGCAATAAGCTGAAGAGGTTGCAAGATTTTTTCCATCCTTTTTTCCCCGAAAACTATAGACTGACACATACAACTTACAGAATTATACATACCCAGAAGCTAAAATAAGTATAATTTATATACTTTATGGCCTAGAGCTATTTGAATAACACTGAAACACAAGATTAACCTACTGGGCACACAAAATCTAATATTATGACCTCATAGTTTTTAAAAAGGCCACCTAAAGATTGGACATTTTTACAGACAAAGGAATGCTTAAAAATTATTAGAAAGTCAAAATACAACAAAGATGACAGATCATCACAGACTAAAATTAGAGTTCATGCGGGGGTGGAGGGTAGAACAGGGTCTCACTGTGCAGTTCAGGCTGGTCTTGAACTACTATATTGCATATGTGAGCCCAGGGTCCTGAGCCTCCTGAATGCTGGGATTACAGGCATGCATCAGCATACTGCTAATAATAGCAACAGCAGCTAACCCTCACATATTATGTTCCCAACACTATTCAGTGTTGGAATTTAATCCTTACAATCACCCTGTGAAGGAGGTACAGTATTGGAAATATGTTATGGTTAGTGTCTAGCTGTTCCCCCAAAGCCTCATGCAGTCACTGGGGCAGGCTTCTGGAGTTTGTGATTACTTCACGATCTAATGCTGTGATTATGGGTGTGAGTGCTACACCCACCGTGGGGCAGATAGCCTGAATACAATATAAAGAAGGGAGAGAAGCTTGTTAGCTGCTGTAGCTGCTGTTCCTCCCTTTTACCTCTTGCTCTTTGCTGTTTTCTGCCACCATCAACAGCTGCCCTCTGCCATGTGCCACTCTGCCCTAAGAGTCAGCCAAGAATGGACTGAAACCTCCACAAACTGTGAACTAAATAAATCTTTCCTTCCCTAATGTTGGATATTGGGTATTTTCCCAACAACAAGTGAAAAGTAACTAACACAGAATATCATTTCCACTTTACAGATCAGGTAAGTGTTATCACTTGCCCAGGATCAAATAGCTAGTAGTGGTAGAGTAAGGTCCCCAACTAAGAAGTCTAGCTACAGAAGCTCACTTTAGCCATTATATTCTTCTACCCAAAGAAACTAAATCCTTATACACTAATATAAGATAATAAATATAAACATATTTTGAAAGTTAATGTATGAAAACTTCAAAATTTTCTACACACTATAACTGAAATTCTATGGATACACTCCATGGCTTGGATGTAGTTTCTCCTTAAAGGCTTCAAGTGTTGGAAGCTTGTTTCCCAGGTGGCAGTGTTAGGGGAAATGGCTTAGAGGTGGGTGGAATGGGAGATCCTGAGGCGCTGAGAGAGCTGCTCTCACAAGGGAGTAAGTTCTTACAAGAGCAAGTGGCTAAATAAGCCTAAGCTGCATTCTCGATTCTCTCTCTCCGGCTTCCTTTTTTTTGGGCCAGCTCAGCCTGCCTCAGGGTGGGGCTGCCACAGCATGTGGTGCCAGGGATCAAATCAAGGTTCCTTGTGCCTACCTAAGCAGGTACTTTAGATGGCTGAGCTATCTTGTTTTTAACTTTTTCTATAGTATATATTTTGTTATTTTATGCTAATATAGTCTTGTATTACAAAGGCAATTTAGTAAAAGAATCTTCCTTTTGATATTTGGTCCTTCCATACACTTCTACCTCTGATATGCCTTTTGGCATTAGGTCCTGACCAGAGGCCGAAATAAATGGGCGGCCAAATCCTGGACTCTCAGTCTCTAGGAACTATGAGCCAAAATGAAACTCCTTCTATAAAGTTTCCCTGCCTCAGGTATATCATTATCTATAAAGTTTCCCTGCCTCAGGTATATCATTACAGTAATACAAAACCAATATATTACTTGAAAGCAAATTAAAGAGAAAGATATCTAAGGTAAGACTCTTCTCAGCTCTTCACTTATGAGTCTAATTTATTAGATATTAATACATAGGATAATAGAACAATCAATGAAATGGACTATCTTAAACATATAGAGAATACAGAGTATTTTTTAGGAAAAAAATTGAAAGTCAACTACATACTTGCAACCCTGGTTGCTCCCAGAACAATGGAACAGATCCTCGGATTTGTATGAAGGAAGAAACAGAATCATCTAAGTACACAACCTACCAAAAGAAGACATGTACATATATATGTATATTTACTTCTGCATTAGAAACACAAAGTTACTGAAATCTGTTGCATAGCATCTATACTTATCTATCAAATATAAATTATCCTAGTCAAAGTATAAAACATAGACCATTAAGTTTGTTTTTCCAGGTAATGTTAACCAAGCAAATAGGACATACATTCGTTTAAAAAGTGCAACTTTTAAAAAGGAACTCCTTTCAATGTAAATATTTTATATGCATACCTATACATTTCATTTAATTTATTTTCCTTAGTTTTCCATATTTCTCAAAACCTAATATGAAAATTGGGAGTTGGACTAGAGTATGGTCTGAATTTATAGTTTTATAGACAAAAATATAATTTTTAATTTTTAGTTAGTATACAAAACTCTGATTAACTGTTAGATTTACTTTCACACATACAAAAAAGCCCACTTCTCCTAAGCTGTCTACTTCTTTAAAATTTAATATAAAATGTACAGCACTGACTATGGCACACTAATTAATGAATACTTTATTAGGCTTTTGAAGAGCCATACCTAAATAAGATTATTTTAGAGAACCTTTTTTTGGCCAATAAGTAGCCTAGAATATCATTACAACATTACAGTTATGAAAATGTGTCCTGAACCAAGTGAAAATCTATTATTTCAATATTTTCTGTGTCTTTCCTATGGTACATGAATAATAATATAAAACATTATATACCTGTTCTGTTTCTACAAAGTTGGCAACATGACCATCATCATTTGTTCCCCGGACATTGAACCTTGTCCCAGCTCGTTCACAGCTTAATCTTGAAATGAGACAAGCCTTTGCCTGTTTATGAGCTGCATAAATTGTCCTGATTTCCACACCCCCACACATGAGGCGTAATAACCAGTCGTCACAATTCACACCATAGTGCTTGAGATGCAAATGCAAAGACTGATTCCTACAGGAAAAAGAAGTAACTACATTAGGTTACCAATTTATGACATATAAATTTTAAAACAGTACTCCCAAAATATTAAGTTAAAGGGCATCAAAAATAAATCAATTTACATTTTACATTTATTATGCTAGAGAATAAGAAGATAAAGCTATAAAATGAAATGGTGATTCTTTGGCATGTAATCTATGTGCAGTATTAAAGATTATTTTTGGAATTTCAGTATGTATGAAATCTGTTACATCTTTTTATATAATATTTATAGCCTAAGTTTTCTAAAAAAGTGCATCTAGACATCCATACTCCACTGTATAAACACCTGTACTTATAAGATTAAAAGGCTCTATTTTAATTAATTTAAATGGCCAACTTAGTGTGGTGGCATAGGTTTGTAATCCCAACACTCAGGAGGCTAAGACAGGAGGATTTCTCTGAGTTCAAGCCCTGTCTCGAACACAGTGAGATCTTATCTCAAAAAAAAAAAGAAAAAAAAAAAGCCAGATATGACTAATGCCTACTAGATTAGATAGCACAAGCATAGGCTTTTCCAGTACTGGAGAACTGAAACCAGAGCCTCACACATGCTGTGCAAGTGCTTCACCATTGAGCTGCACCCTTAACCCCCTCCTAAAACTTTTAGCATTTTAAGAAACAGATGGGGCCTGGTTTCCAAACATGTGCAGGGGAAAAAGTTACTCAAACACACAGAGCCCAATGATTGAGAGATAGATAAAAGTGGAGTCACTACGGATAAAACATAGACAGGGACTGCAGGGTTTTCTACTGGAAACTAGTAATCTACAGAACACATAAGTAAGCTTCTGTGTCAACTTCTAACCAACCCACCAGGAAGAAAAATATGTTGTTAAGCAAAACTTCACTACCAATATGAAAGTGAGTTTTCTGTATTGTTGCTCCATATTACTTGCTCTGTTACTTAGCTCTATACCCTTGCTCTGTATTTCTTAGCTGTCTTAAACAAGGTACAAGAACTATAACAACACTTTACTGAAGATTCAGGGTTATTAACAGTAACAGAAAAAAAAAAAAGTGCAACACTTTTAGAGCAGCAGTCCTCACTCTTGGCCCCTTGTGTGACAAGCTGCAGGGGAGGCCACAGGTGGCTGTCATGTGCAGTTCAGGTGGATCAGCTGTGATCTCAACCTTATCTTCTTGGGAAACTACACAGCTCTGTGGGAAGGCCCTGGATTTAGGCCCCAGTACCAAAAACAAAATAAAACTCAATGGAATGTAAATGAGTGCTAAAATTAATACTGAAATAACATTAAGTCTCACAACCATTTCTTATCTGAAAAATACAGTGACATAAGCTTCCCTTCTTTACTATTATTTACATTGATCTGAAAGTTCAAAGAGACTGTACTACAGCTAGGGGTCATGGCATAGTATGGAGATAAGAGACTCGCTTTTTCCATTTAAACAGACTTTGGATTCTAGGCATTTTATATGTTTCATCCTCTGCTGTCAGATTTCATTTTTCTTTACTATCAGTGTGTCTGTCACTGTTTTAACTACACTTAAATTTACACAGAACTCTTAACTGGAAATAGCTTAAAATCACCAATGGAACAAAAGTACTTGGGTTTTTTTGTGACAGAATTTGGCCACAATAATTATTGTGTCTTGCAAAACATTTCTACTAAATTGCAAAGAATGAATCTAAAAACTCACTTTTCTATGGAAACTGAAGCTCAAGTATGCAAATCCTTATCAAAATAATAAAAAAATTAACAAAATTCATTTTTGCTATATTATCCATCCCTTTGCTCAAGCTGTCACCTATTAGACAAAGCCTTCAGATTTTTGTAATCTCAATGTTCCCATTTCTACATCTAAGTGAATGAAGAGATGAATGAATTATGCCTACTGATTGAACTTAGCAAATGCAGCTGCACCTGTTTGGACTTCAAATGTGACAGGAAAGCTCATCTCTCTCCATCTGAGGAATCTGGGATAGGAATGAAGGAGTAACAAAACAAGCACAGCTGCAACAGGATTACCTTTCTCAAAGGACTTCAATGTATGCCCTCAGCACAATGTACAGCTGACACAGGTTTAACTCTTGGAAGCTTATTTCTGAATGCTAGACAAAAGTATGCCCTAGCATCACCAGCTTCTTGAGAGATTGAGTCCAGTCATTTGCTTTGTTCCCCACTCCACTACTACCTCTTCTTTTCCATCCCTCATGGTCTTTTCCTTTGCTCAAGTGCCTGACAGAAAGTGCTCTACATTCTTTGTTCATTCTGCCCTCATTCTTCCCCTATGCACTACTCTCAGCCAAGACACCTGATATAAGTTATAAGGTAACCAAATTATTGCCTGAAGGTTGATTTTTTTTTATAAGGCTATTGATTTTGATCCCTCTGACAGGGCTAATGGATCAAACCTCAATATGATACTTAAGAACCACACACGATTGTGAAAGTGTGAAGGAGAGACAATACATAGGAGAGAACACTCCACATCTAAATTATTGCCAGATGAAAATAGCACAGAAAGCCTGGAGCTTTGGCCTTATAACATATGTCATTATAATAAAACATAATTTGCACATGGCAATTAGGAAAAAAGCCAAGATCAATGAAATCCAGCCTCCTACAATAAAGTTGTACTAATTAGAGTCTAAGTTTTACTCAGCACTCATGCCTACTTATAACACTGCACAGTAATACACAATCATGTAATATATCACAATTATGTAAGTTTTATTTTCTGTAGTTTTGGACTCTGTCTAGAATACTATCTCTTCACAATCTGTTGTTCTTGAATCAAGATCATCTATATACATTGGGGGCATAGAGTACCTGCCTACCCTGGTTCAACCCCCCCCACCACTAAGTAATAATAAAATGATCTACTTACAATCCTTAAATTATACAAGAGTGATTTACATTGTTAATAATGCCAATACAATTTCAGACCTCAGAATAATAAATATGAATCACATTACTTTATTATAACCAACATCAGTCTCAAATTTAACACAAATATTTTAAGTATATTTCTGAAATGAATCGACTTATCAAGATCAAGAAGAACAAGTGGGCTTCATGTCACATGCCAACTTCAGCACCCCAACAGAGGCTGCCTATCATTTGTGCTAACAATCTGGGAGCAAGAAAGACAGGTGTGAGCAATCAGCCATGTCTGCCCCTTGCTACCTCTGAAGGAAAAGCAACTACTGAACAAATCTTACCCAAATCACTAAGTCACTGCATATATATGATTCAATACAGTAAAAATAAAACAGACTCACCAGAAAAATCTATTGTCAGTGCTTTGTTCTTGCATGCTACGATGTGCATTGAGACTTAGATCTAAACTAGCTCCAGATGCAGACCATGCAAAATAAAAGTTTCCGGAATTCAAAACCTTCCGCACTTCAGAAATTCGATCCTCATCTGAAGCATCAACTCGAAGGGATATAAACTCAGTAGAAGTAACTCGGAAAACTTCAGATTCTTGAATTTTTCCAACAGACATACATCCAGTGACTAGGACCAGATAATGTAACATGGTATCACCTGCAAAACCCAAAGATTTTATTTTGATGAAAAATCCAATATTTCCAAGGCATTTGAAGTTTCTCCAATTGGGTATGGTGGCACACACTAGTAATCCCAGTGCCTGGGAGGCTGAGGCAGGAGGATCACCATGAACTGGAGGTCAGCCTGGGCTATATAGTATGTACAAGGCCAGCCTGAATAACAGAGCAAGACCCTGTCTCAAAAATAAATGAAGTTTCTTTTGACTTTTGTCTTTGTCTCTATCTTTTAAACCTGACATTGTGGTTACTATTTATCATGGATATAGTTAAATCAACAACTAGATATTTTTTAGTTGAAAAATAAAAGCTTGACAGTAACAGCTTCTCCCAGGATAGACCAGTAATAAACCAATTCATGGACCAGTCCCAGCCTTTAGGCTAGTTTCAATCACACAATGGACAAATGAGTAGTCTCAAGGTTTATATTCTGCAGTACATAGAGATGCTAAACTATTTAGTGCAATAAACATTTCAACATTAACAGGATAATCTCATTTTTGTGAATTTGGTCCACTACTTAACCTGAGGCTATACAAATTTATCAAATAGAAAATATATGCATTGCACTGGGCTCCTAGGAGCAGTTAAGGTGCGGGGCATAGGAGGGCCTGGGACTTGACACTGCAATAGCTAGCATGCTGGTTCAGAAAGCCACGGACTATGTCAGGAGCAAGGACTTCGGGGACTACCTTATGAGTATGCACTTTCAGGGCCCAGTGGTCAGCTGGGGTCTCCCAATTGCTGCCATCAATGACATGAAAAAGTCTCCAGAGATTATCAGTAAATGTGCGGGTGACATTTTACTTCTGTTGCTATTCTTTGACATTCATGAGATTTGCCTACAAAGTACAACCTCAAAATTGGCTTCTGTTTGCATGCCATGCAACAAATGAAGTAGCCCAGCTCATTCACGGAAGTTGGCTGATCAAATATGAGTAAGAAGGCATCTGCTTAGCAATGGGAAGAACCAGCTCTGTAAGGGACAGCACCCCAGCCACTGCTACCAACTCACAAATTCCATCAGCATAAATAGTCTTTCTAAGGAGAAAATGCAGAATGCTATTTTTACTACCCATACCACTTTTATAGAAAAAGCTGAGAGTCCCTGAATGAACTCTCTGCTGCCTTACAACACAATATTTTCTTTCTTTTCATAAAGAGTAGCTCAAAATATGCAACTAATTTAATAATTTCTGATGATGGTTTTATCTCCAGTAATATATTATCTATTATTGGTGAAAAACTAAAGAGAACAAAATTTTGTAACTAGTTACACTTAAGTACTCAAAATCCTTGATGTTTTCTTTAATGACCACATAATATCCACTAGCTAACCACACATCTAAAAAATCTGATTTCTTTGTTTCACAAGTATCTGTGTATTTTCAAGCAGTGTGTATATTGAGATGCTGTAACTCTATGGCAAAAAATGATTTAAATATCTGTTAAAAAATATATGTATTGCTTTTACTACCTCTCTTTCCAATGCTCAGAAATTTAGATAAGATAATTAATATGAAAATTCTTCGTAAATAGTGAAGCTGAAACATTTTCCATTCAATTTTATATTTTTCTAGACATTTTTGTTCTTCATGGACCTTTTCATGACAAAAATTCTATGAAATTAGTGTCAAGTTGGAATTTAGCTGACTGTGTTCTGAGCATGAGCTCTGACACAGATAGAAGTGCCCTGAAGTTTTGGCTCCATTACTTATCTAGACCAAAGTGTATTACCATAACCAACCTAAGATATAACCTTATGTTAAAAGGAATTAAATATCTCACAATTACTTAAAACAATTATTAGTAAAGCACCTAGGTACAATGTTTTACCTATGATCAATCAATAACACATGACAAATCTACATTTTATAGACTTGTACTACACAAAGTATGGTCTATCAACATACAAAAAAAAAAAGGGGGGGTAGAATAATCGTCTGACTGGCAAGCACAGGGTCCTGAGTTCAATCCCTGGTACCACAAAAAAAAAAAAAAAAGAAAAGGTGGAGGGGGGCCCTACCAGAAGGACAAAATCAACTATATCACTAAGTTCATCCTTTCATTTAAGTGACTATTTTGTTTGCTTGGTTTTCCATTGTAAGACTTCATCAATGAAGGAAGCCACATATAGGATCCACATGACAGTACAAGCTTCTCCCTGGATAGACCAGTAACAAAACAATTCATGGACCAGTCCCAGCCCTTAGGCCAGTTTCAATCACACAATGGACAAATGAGTAGTCTCAAGGTTTATACTCTGCAGTCCATAGAGATGTTAAGTGACAGACAGACTCAGGCTGAGACCTTCTGAATCCACATACATTTATCCCACAAAAAATCTGGGAAATCACTGTGGTTTCATGAAAACACATTTTCCTAAATGTATTATATTCAAGTAAAGGGACAAGGTTCTGATTTTCTCCAAATGTATTCAAACAGGATCCAATCTATGGAATTCAAAGTCACAAAAGCTTAAGGAAATAGCATGTTTTCTTGAACAAAAAACATTTCACTAGCCTAATAGGTAATAGATGCTACCGCACTTCATAGCTCAGTTACTGAGCCTGATACGATACACTGGTAGTGTCTCCCAAATCCTTAGAATTACAAAAATTAAATAAAAACAATACATAGATTATACTGAATAACAAACTTACCAAGATTTAATCGCAAAACACCTAAGAGTCCATATGCATCCAGGACTTTGGAATATGTACTCTTGATTGCCTCTTTTTCAGCAGAAGCTAAAAAAATAATATTAACAATAATAAGGTTTAGATTAAGAAAACAATCTGAAATATCAGAGTCTATAAAGGCAGAGTTTCAACGAAAACTTTATAAATCTGATATTCTTCCCAGGGCATAAGGCTAATTTTGTCATCAAGGTACAGAAACAGATCTATCAGACATTCTGTCTGACAACAGTCTGTCAACATTTTTATAGATGAATTATTAACTTTAATTTTGAGTTTATTATATTAAACATTGAATGCTCAACAGAAAAAAATCACAAAAATCAAGTATTGATTTTTTCACATTTATTCTTTATAAAAAAGCATCAAAATTTCAACATTGACTTTTTTAGACTTTGGTGTACAAAGTAAAAAAAAGAACACTGGAAATTCCTAGATGAACTACAGTGAAAATACCAATAACACTCTACAAAAAATAATCTTTATAATTATCAAATCTAAGGCAGTCTGCACATATGACAACAGCACATTCCATACACACACGGGTTTTGTTTTCCTGGCTTTTTTGTAGGACATACTTCACATCTTAGTTGTCTTGCTATTTTGTCAGGAGGGTTTTTTCTTTTAATAGTAAACAGTGTGCAGTTACAATAACAATAAAATAGATTATTAAATTCTTAATATGTATTGTGTATTTAGACTAGACATCAACACTTTTACATCAGCTGTGTACTTGTTTACAAAATATAAAAGGTAACATTAGAAAGAAATGTTACAATGAAAATACCAATAAAACTCTATTAAGAAAATAACCGTTGCTTCAACTGTCACACCCAAGGCAGTCTTCACAATATTCCAGGCATAAGACTTGCTTACATGGACAGCACATCTCTCTCTCTCTCTCCGGTCGGTCTCGGTCTCTCTGTCTGTCTGTCTGTTTCTCTGTCTCTCTGTCTCTCTCTTTGAGACAGGGTCTCGTTATGTAGCTCAGACTGGCCTGCACTCACTATGTAACCCAGGCTGGCTTCAAACTCACAGTGATCCTCCTGCCTCAGTTCCTGAGTGATGAGATTACAAGTGTACACTATCATGTTCAGCTTTTCCTGGCCTCTTTGAGGCTCATACTTGAAATGTCAGTGGTCTTGCTGTTTTGTCCTAAGGTTCTTATTATATTATACAGTGTGTAGTTAACAGGAATATAAAACACCAATAAAATAAATTATTTTATTTATTTGTTTAGTTATTTGAGACCTGGTTTTGCTATGTAGTTCAGGCTGGCCTGCACTCAATATGTTGCCCAGGCTGGCCTCAAACTCACAGAAATCCTCTTGCCTTAGCCTTCTGAGTGCTGAGATTACAGGCACACGCCACCATGTCTGGCTAAAATTCTTAGTATGTATTGGGTATTTAGGATAGACGTGAACATTTTCACAACAGTTGTACATTTGCTTATAAGACCTAAAAGATAACATCATAAATAAATTCTTATATGAATTATAATGGAAATACCAATAGAACTCTAACACAAAAATAAGCTTTGTAAGCCAGCGAGACTGGACTAAGTACCTGCTTAGGCAAGTGCAGGGACTGGGGTTCAATTCCCAGTGCCATATACTGCAAAGGCCCAGCATGGTGTCACACACCTGTAATCCCAGTGCTGGCGAGGCTGAAAACCGGAATGAGACCCTGTGCCAAATACATAAATTTTAAAATAAAACTTCAACTGGCATACCCAAGAGAGTCTCCACACAAGACAACCACATTCCATTTACAAGTATCACTTCACACTGACTGTACATATGTTTTGTTTTCCTGTTCTTCCTTTATTTCTTTCTTTTTGTGGTACTGGGGATTGAACTCAGGACCTTATGCTTGCCAGGCAAGTGCTTATTCTACTGAGCTATCTCCCCGGCCCTCCTGTACTTTCTTATAGGATACACTTGACATTTTGGTTTTCCTGTTGTCATAGTAGGTCTTTGTGATGCTGTGCCTTCCTGTTCACCTGTCAGTTTCCCAATATGCTCCACAAGTTTTTTTTTTTTTTTTTTTTTTGCTTAGTTCCCTGGGCAGAAACATTTTTTTAACCTCTGCTGTAAATGATCTCTTATGAGCTCCAGTCCCAATTATTTAAGAAAATTTCTCTGTGATATTTTGCATTTATTATTTTCTCTATAAACTCTCAAAACTATTTATGCCACACATGTTTAGGATTGAGTAAAACACAACCACTTGCCAAAATTTTGTGTTGCAAGCAACATCATAGTTGCTGCATAGCTCATTAGAAACATGTCCACTTTCAGCTTTGTTGTTGAAAGTTTCCATCTCAGATTTGTTTTGTCAAGGTTTCCTTACTCACATTTCCATCATGATGAAATACTGATTTCAGCAGTACCAGTTTGTTTTTCTTTGCTATATATGAGCCCAATGTTATATTTTTCTGAAACCCAGAAAAATGCTCTAAGAACTTCTCTAGTTTGAAACTGCAAATTTCATTTGAATTTCTGCTTTTTTCCTGCATACAGTTCCTTCACTATGAACTTGTATTCTGTTAGCAAATGTAACATCAATGTAAAACCAGTAAATCAACTGTCCAATGTCACATTCCAATTAGCTTGGGAGATAAGAGCAACAAGTCCGTTTATAACATCATTAAATTTATTACTATATGAATAAATACCTGATGAGTTTCAGGATAAATGTCTAAATTGAAAGAATAATAAATCTTCATATCTACAAGGGCATAAATTTTTATATCATATTTCGACTTATCACTTTTCCATTAATCTTTTGCATTCCCGCAATCACCATAAGAAATCTGTGCTAAGTACAGCTGATCCATGAATGCTTTCAGTTCACCAAAAGGTGTCAAAATAAATACATTTTTTTCATATGAATACTGGTACACACAGAGAATTTTACTTGCATTTCAGCCTTTCTGTATTTGGCAGCATCTTGAATTTCCTTGTTACAGTTTCCAACACTGAATGGCAGTGCTGACATTCTTTCCAATAAGTTTCACCCCAACAAGACCCTCTCATATTTTTGGATTCAGTTCCTTTTTTTTTTGCGCTGAATGCCTTCAGGGCAGGTTTGGCTGGCTTGAGTTGTGGGGATCAAACCACAGCGACCTGAGCCTGACAGCTTTGTTGAAGCAGCCACTTAAAGAACTGAGCTAAGGGGCAGGCCCCCGTTGGATTTAGTTCTAACACTGGATCATTCCATTTGGTTTTGTGGCCATTTCAGAACATTTTAATTAGTCAAATATGTACTCATACTGCTGTTTTCTTTGTCATCTGAATCAGGGAGGTTTGTATTCCCTATGTCTGTATCAATCTATTCTTGGTTCATATCACTGTCATAAGAACTTGGGTTCACATGGTCAGTGTCAAAGTTATCACTGCCATCATCACCACCATCATCATCCACACCCACACTGCTCTTCTGTTATGACAGCATGTATTTTACCATGATGGATCATCTTTATCATCCATACATGAGTAATATGATGATTCACTTTTGACTTTCTCCAAAACTTGCAAATCTGGTTTTTCACATGCCATTATGCTGAATTGGGCTACTTCTACCAGAAAAATCAAAATAAAAAAAAATTTTTCCCTAACAAATCCTGGAGTGGTGTGGGTCTATTGGACCCGCTGTGATGCTTGGGTAAACATATGCAAAACCAGCTAGCAGGCAAATAAGGGTAGATCCAAACTCTGTTTTGCCACTTTTGTACACATGCACACTCCTTATCATTTGTCATACAAAGTGGCTAAACACTAGATTGTTCCCTGTATCCCTCAGGGTAAGGTGCTGAAACATACAACCTGCTACTATAAAGTATAAATTTATAGTAGAAAGGTAAGAGACGGTTCATTGGACCCAGACTAATGTACTGGAAGCCAGACTCAGTAGTACATGCATACCTGTAATCCCAGCACTTGGGGAGATGAAGGCAGAAGGATTGTTGCAAGTTTGAGGCCAGCCTGAGCTACATAGCAAGTTCAAGCCCAGCTTGAATATACAGCAAGACCTAATCTCAAACAAACAAACAAACAAACAAACCCCCCCCCAGAAAAGTAGTATATAAAATATTTTCTCAAATTAGTAATAATACTCTTCTTCTATTACCACCAATTAAACTAACCCTCATACTGATATGAATGCCATCTTACTCATCCTTTTATCCTTAACACGTAGAACAGTGCTTGATATGTAGAGAAGACTGTGAAACATGTAAAGAAGGATAAAAGCTACTGACAATACTTAGCTACAGAGTTAAACACACAAATGGGAAAATCCCCAGTCTAATGTTTGTCTTATTTCTTAATTTTCTTAATGCTGTCTTCCTAATGTGTACAACCTACAGAAGGACTTCCCTAGGGCTGTTGGCCTATTGAGAGATAAAACAGCAGCAGTAGTAACAACAAAATCCTGAAACTTTAAAGGGAACTATCTCCTTAAACACATAGCAAATATACATTAAAATGTGAGAGAAGAACCAAAGAAATATAAACTATGGCTAGTATTTCAAAGGAAAATTACAAACAATATATTCTAAAGTCTGCAATTAAAAAAGATCTGACCTCCTTCCTCATTCTTTTCTATTCCAGGTTTCTGACCTTCTCTAAGGTATCTTCTACTTTCCTTTTGCCATTCCTCCACCCCACACCTAACTCACTTCTTGGCTGACTGGTTTACTCTGCAATTATCTCCTATCCACTTCCTATTACTTCATTTACCTATAATATGGAATTATAGAACCTTTAGCAACACTTACGTGTTCCCTGTAGGAAAATAATTGTAAGCAGATCTTTCTGACATTCCTATGTCTTGTCTATTGCCAACAAGGGAGCTCTTCTCAGTCTACTACTCTGCTTCACTCCTTGTCACACTGCCTTAGGGATCTCTTCATTTGCCTTGCAGCTCTTTTCCAGAGTTGTATAAAACAGCTCACATTCCTCGCCTCAGACCATTTACTACTTCCTAGTGATTTTTCCTCCACCTTCCAGTCAGTTATAGTCTGTGAAGTGGAAGCACAGGCTAAGAAT